TTCAGAACATTTTCATTACTGCAGAATGAAACCCCATACCCATTAGCTCTCCATTCTCTCTTCTCCCCAGTCTGTAGCAATCAGTAATTTGATTTTTATTTCTGTGAATTTGCCTGTTTTAAACCTTTCATACATATGGAATTATACAATATGTGACTGGCCTCTTTCATTTAGCATAATGATGGTTCATCTATGTTGTATAGCATCTATTATTACTTCATTCCTTTGTATTACTGAACAATTTCATTATATGGACACACTACATTTTAAAAATCCATTAATCAGTTGTACATTTGGATTGTTTCCTTTTTTGGCTATTATGAATAATGCTATGAGCATTTCTGTACCATTTTCATGTGGATGTACATTTTTAATTCTCTTGGGTATATATCTAGGAGTTGGAGTTACTAGCTTATATGGTAATTTCTAGGTTTAACATTTTGAGGAACTGATAAACTGTTTCCTAAAGTGGCTGCACCACTTTGCAATCTCACCAGCAATGCACTAGGTTTAGGTTTTTCCTTATCCTCATCATCACTTGTTATTATCTTTTTTATTTTAGCTATCCTAGTGGATGTGAAATGCTATGTCATTGTGGTTTTGGTTTGTATTTCCCTAAAGACTAAGTTGTTGAATAAATTTTCATATGCTTATTGGCCATTTGTATATTGTCTTTGGAGAAATGTGTATTTATATCCTTTGCTCAGTTTTATTTTTATTTTTAAACATTTTTTTTACTTATTTCAGAGAGGAAGGGAGAGGGAGAAAGAAATAGAAAAATCAATGATGAGATAGTATCATTGATTGGTTGACTCCCACACTAGGGATGGAGCCTGCAACCTGGGCATGTGCCCTGACTGGGAGTCAACCCGTGACCTCCTGGTTCATAGGTCGATGCTCACCACTGAGCCATACTGGCTAGGCGCTATCCTTTGCTCATTTTTAAATTGCATTATGTCTTTTTCATTGTTGAGTTGTAAAAGTTTCTTATCATTACATAATTTGCAAATATTTCCCCCAGTTTTCCATGGGTTTATATCAATTTTTGATACTTGTCTTTATATAAAATGAAATGATTAACTTTTAATTTATCATTGTCATGCTAACAATTAAAATTTTAAATTCGTCATTGTCATCCTAGATTAGTGATTTCCAACTGGTGTGCTGTGGTGCAAGAATTTTTAAAACATGTAATACCTGCCCTAACCGGTTTGGGTCAGTGGATAGAGCGTCAGCCTGCGGACTCAAGGGTCCCAGGTTCGAGTCTGGTCAAGGGCATGTACCTTGGTTGCGGGGCACAGCCCCAGTGGGGGGTGTGCAGGAGGCAGCTGATCGGTGTTTCTCTCGCATCGATGTTTCTAACTCTCTATCCCTCTCCCTTCCTCTCTGTAAAAAATCAATAAAATATATTTAAAAAAACAAACAAACATGTAATACCTGACTAGTCAGGGGCCCTGATCTCTTTTTGCTTAGATTATATATTTAAAAAAAAAATGACAACAGCCACCACAACAGTAGCAGTCTGGTGTGAATGAGTCAAAAGTATACCTTGGTGTTTGTTTTTTTTGTCAGATTGGCAAAAAATATATTTTTTGGTGTGTCTCAGAATTTTAGTAATCTTGTCTATATCATAAAAGGCCTGTGGTCGTGATGCTATAACGGCATCACGACCAAACGAGCAGTGGCTCTCATGGTGGGCAGGGTGGGTTCCGGCAGTGTCCGTGAGTGTGCGAGGTATTGGCAGCGTTCGTGGGGCAGCAGACATGGCCCCGACGGCAGGCTAGGCCTAGGGGACCCTACATGCGCATGATTTAATCATGCGCTGGGCCTCTAGTTTATACTAATAAAAGGTAATATGCTAATTAGACTGGGAGACCTTCCAGGCATCCTTCTGGACAAAGCCATGGTAGTGGGACCTTGACGGAGGCGATTAGGGAGGGGGTCCCCTCAGCCCGGCCTGCAAGCTCTCCAATCTGGGACCCCCCGGGGGATGTTCGACTGCCGGTTTAGGCCGCTGGCTCCTAACTGCTCACCTGCCTGATCACCCCTAACCACTCTGCCTGCCGGCCTGATCGCTCCTAACTGACCCCCCGCCAGCCTTATGGCCCCCAACTGCCCCCCCTGCCGGCCTGATCAACTCCCCCTCTCCCCCCCCCCCCGCCGGCCTGCTCTCCCCCAACCGTCCCCCCCCCTCCCGCTGGCCTTCTCGCCCCCAACTGCCCCTCCCTGCCAGCCTGCTTGCCAGCCTGCTCGCCCCCAATTGCCACCCTCCTCCGGGCTGCTCGCCCCCAACTGCCCTCCCCTGCCGGCCTGATCGCCCCTAATCGCCTCTGTCTTGGTCCCACTACCATGGCTTTGTCCAGAAGGTTTATCTATGTTGTAGCATGTATCAAAACTTCATTTCTGATTTCAGAGAGGAAGGGAGGGAGAGAGAGATAGAAACATTAATGATGAGAGAGAATCATTGATCAGTTGCTTCCTGCATGCCCCACACTGGGGATTGAGCCCGCAACTTGGGCATATGCCCTGACTGGGAATTGAACCCTGACCTACTGGTTCATAGGTTGACGCTCAACCACTGAGCCACACCAGATGGGCAAAACTTCATTTCTTTTTATGTCTTAATATAATATTCTATTTATGTATATACCGCATTTTGTTTTATACATTCATCTGTTAATGGACACTTGGGGTTTGCATCTTTTGGCAATTGTGAAATTGTGACTTAATGCTGCCACGAACTTGGTGCTACATATATGTGTTTGAGCCTCAGTTTGCAGTTCTTTTGGGTATATGCCTATGATTAGAATTGCTGGGTCATATGGTAATTCTATGCTTAACTTTTTGAGAAAATGCCAACCCTTTCCACAGCGGCTGTACCATTTTTACAGTTCCACAAGGTTTCAAATTTCTCCACATCCTTGCTAACACTTATTCTTTTCTTTGTTTTCTCTTTTTCTCTAAATACTAGCCATCCTTGTGGCTGTGAAGTGGTATGTCATCTTGGTTTTGATTTGCATTTCCCTAACAGCTAATGATTTTGAGCATCTTCCTGTGCTTTATCTGCCATCTGTATATCTTTGGTGAAGTGTTTTGCCCATTTTAAAAAAGTAGGTGGCTGTAAGATTTCTTGTATTCTAGATACAGATCCTTTGTCAGATACATTGGAAGGTATTTTTAATGTTTGTATGGAATGAACTATTTCAATTTCTGTCATCCCCCACCCAAGTTAAAAAGATTCTTTCATCAGTTCATTTATACCAAATAATTTTGTTCCTTCTAGTTCAGTTGCCTTTTGAAACTGGATTTGGTGATTGTATTTTCCCTATGAGAGGAAATAATTTAAACTATACTAGAAGATATAAAAAGAAAAGTTCTGCTTTCTGATAATGTTGTCAGCTTTTTCAGAGGAAGTGTAAAATTATGCTCTTCAATTGTCCAGGAATAAGCATTCGGTACTTAATAGTGCTATACCTGCCAGATTGGCGTGGCTCAGTGGTTGAGCGTCAACCTATGAACCAGGAGGTAACGGTTCAATTCCAGGTCTTGGCACATGGAATTGCGGGCTCGGTCCCCAGTCAGAGTTCTGCAGGAGGCAGCCGATCAGTGATTTTCTTTCATCATTGATGTGTCTGTCTGTCTGTCTGTCTGTCTCCTTTTCTCTCTGAAATCAATAAAAATATGTTTAAAAGATAATAAAAGTTTTGTACCTGCCTTTCTAAAAGGCCAAATTGCAAGTATATAAAATATAATTCACTCCTACTGAAATTTGTAGAATTTTTCATTCCAAATAATTATATTTCTTTCATAACATATATGCTTCAAAATATAAAAGGTGCCCTAAAATTTTTCTTTACACACATAGTAAACAGTTTTTGGCAATAAGAATGAGAACATACGGTTAATCCAAAGATTTTCTTAGACTTATTAACTTATATGAAATAATTATACCTAAATTATAAATCTTAGCAGTTTTCTTTTAACCCTTTGGAAAAGAAAATTAAATAGCAAAAAATTACATTAACAGAATTAGACTGTCATTTGTAAATAGACATAAAATATTTGGGTTATTTTGCCTTTAAGTAAGGAATATTTGAAATCACCTCACTTTTCAGTAAGATCATTTTCACTTAATGAATTAAGTTAAAATGAAATCTGTAGAATAACTATTTTTAGTTACAGGTTTTTTTTGTTTGTTTATTTGTTGTTGTTAATCCTCACCCGGGGATATTTTTCCATTGATTTTTAGGGAGAGTGGAAGAGAGAGGGAAAGACAGAGTGAAATATTGATGTGAGAGAAACACATCGATTGGTTGCCTCCTGCATGCCCTGGACCAGGGCCCGGGCTCTGGGAGGAGCCTGCAACCGGGGTACATGCCCTTGCCCAGAATCGAACCCGGGACCCTTTGGTCCCCAGGCCAACAAACCGGCAAGGGCTACAGTTTTTAATAAAAATCTTTTAAGGTTTCTAAGTTACTTTGGTCAATGTTAGGTCCAATATCCCTTTGTAGAATGTACAACTTCCTAAAAACTTCTGAGAGATATGTTTCAGCTAACTGTTCTAGAAAGGTAAAAGGTAGTTTAGTAAATACTATATTTAAGGAGTGAGACTAATAAAATAATGTGGTAAAAACATTTCTAAATATTTTCCCCAAGAAAGAAAAATGTGAGTGTAAAAGCCATTTAAAAAGTCACTTTGGTCCGGCTGGTGTGGCTCAGTGGTTGAGCATCGACCCATGAACCAGGATATCAAGGTTCGATTCTCAGTCAGATCTGGGCACATGCCCGGGTTGTGGGCTTGATCCCTAGTGGGGCACGCAGGAAGCAGCTGATCAATGATTCTCTCATCATTGATGTTTCTCTCTCCCTTCCTCTCTCTGAAATGAAAAAAAAAAGTCACCTTGTAACCCCTCCCCCATACATACATAATATAAATTTTCTACAAGTAAGAAACAAATTAAAAAACCCATTTTTGGAAAATTATTGATGTGCAACAATAATGTTGTTTATTTTTTTTCTAGATATGGCCGCGTGGAAAGTGTCAAAATTCTCCCTAAGAGGGGATCTGAAGGAGGAGTGGCTGCCTTTGTGGATTTTGTGGACATCAAAAGTGCACAGAAAGCTCACAACTCAGTCAACAAAATGGGAGATAGAGACCTACGCACGGATTATAATGAACCAGGCACCATTCCAAGTGCTGCTCGGGGATTGGATGATACAGTTTCCATAACATCTCGTAGTAGAGAGGTTTCTGGGTTCAGAGGAGGTGGTGGAGGGCCTGCTTATGGCCCTCCACCATCACTTCATGCACGAGAAGGACGTTATGAGCGGAGACTTGATGGGTAAGTTCCAAGGTTTCTGTAGGCAGGTATTTTGTATTTGATATGGTGAGAAACAGAAACTCATATTTAGGGGCCCCAGATGGATTTAAAGTTTTGGGCATTTTCAATGTTTCCTATTTTGGGTTGGAAACGGAAGTAATTTCTATCCCAGTGGCTGGTATTATGGAATCGTAGAGGATATTTCCTGCAGCTGGTTGGATATCTACTCCTGAGATATGAAGTGGTGGAAGATTTTATATGGCAGCATTTTTGGAGTTACCTGTCTTCTAGATTTAATTATTTCTTCTCTTGGATGATGATAAGGCCTTCCTTGGATATATTCCTCTTACCTGACGGAGCTATTTGGCTACAGATTTTGTGGTTATACTATATGGAATATTTCTGGAATATTAGAGCCTACAGATTCTTTTAGAAGTTAATATCTGCTTCTCAATTTTCACTACATAAAGTGTACAAATGAATTGGATTGTCATCACAAAACCTAGCACATCATAATGATTCAACCCCTTGGATTCTACAAACAATACTTTAACCTGGAAATGTGTAACTTGGAGGAAGAAGAATGAAGGCAATGTTTGATTTTCCCATTTTGGATCTACACAATTTCCATGTTGGAATTATACTCCTGGATGGAATGGGGCAAGTTGAGATGATGGACCTTCTTAAATCCTGGAATATAGCCATTGTTTCCTAATTTCTGGAGTCTATGGGATGTCATGCAGTCAAAATTCCATTAGCCCAGGAGAAGAGGATTACTATCTCCTTTCTGAAGCAAGTTGCTGCCCAATTAAAGGTACTTTAGTTTGAACACATGGTGATGATCAGTTGTGGATACTGCAATCAAAATTGACTGTGCTGGATGGCTACAAAGGTGAACTATTGGCAAGCAACTGTGCCTTCCTCATTTGGTGGAATCATTTTCTCTTCTGTCAGCTGCCTGATTCATACTTAGGGCTGGAAATTTTTATGAATGTGGATCAATTTATAATTGTCTACTATCTCAAGAAAGAAGTCTGGGGGTTTGAGAGTTACAGTTTGTCTGGGACAACTTGCTTCCAGTGGAATTATTTTATCTGATCACTAAGATTTTTTTTTCCTTGTGGTTCATCTAAATATCATTTGACACCCTTGCCCATTAAGAAGGTGGATTACCCCCGTAAGAGGGGCCAAAATTGGGGAAGTTATGTTCACAATTCTCTCCCTAGATTTAATTGGGATTATAGGTCGTGTTTCCACACTTGGAAAAGGTTGGTATGTCCTGACCTGTGTATATTAGCCCCTCTCCTAACCCAAGTCAAACTCTCTCTTTTCCCCCCACTAACTCTAGAAGTATTTAGTACTAATAGATGAATTAAAGAATAGCTATTAGATTTCAGCTCTGCTAGCTCTTGTGCCTGCCTTCTGTATCTTCCTAATGGATAAGAACTTTGCATAGTTATAAACTATCAGCTGTAGCAGTAATTCTCCTAGAACTATTGCTTATTATATAATTAATATCAGCTCTTACTGATTAATATTTGATAGGGTACTAATAGAATTATTTATTAAACTTTCTCTTAAGTCTGAAAGGAAACTCTCTTGTTTGTTAGACATTGAAATATCTATTCAAGTTCCAGAAATGTAGTGAATTAAAAAGGAAAAAATCATTTAAGTAGGAAAGATATTATTATTGATTTTTTTTGTCATGCCAGTTGCTTTTCATATGGCTGCAAAAAACAAATGCAGCATAGGAAGGTATATTTGTTACTAAGTGAAATGGTGGATGAGATGAAGATTAGTGGAGGAATTTGGAATCTAGGCATGTAGTGGGGACATAGTATTATAAGATTTTGCCAGATATCCTCATTTGAGAGATTCTAATTCTTCTACATTTTTCATGATTCCTAATCTCTTTGATAGAAGGTAGTTCCAAATATAACATTGAGAAGAAACTCAGTCTGTTGAAATTCAAGTGAAATGGTCTTTTTAGAGACTCAGGAAATGAGTTCTGGTTTCCTACCAAAGTAGAGAATATAAGATTTCTTTATAGAATTAGACTTCGTTTTAAGTACTAACACTTAATTGCATGTGTGTAATTGTACATGCAACAATTTTTGCACTCTGAGGTTGATAGATATGTCCTACAGAAAATTTTTTTTTAAGTTAAACCATTGCTAGAAGTAACCTTAGAGACTCTTAAAATTCCAAAAGTTGCCTAATTTCATCATAGGCAAATTGCGTATAGCTAAAACCTAAGTGAACATATTTCCTGTAACCATTAAGTACTTATATTAACAAATTGAATCGTGGAATAGACATTTTAAAAATTATGTGGAATTTGATAGCACAAGGAGGTAAAATAACCTTTATTCTTTAATTAATTCAATTTACCATAATAGTATGTGGCAATCCAATATTTTAATATCCTAAGTATTTCTTTTTAAGATTCCACTTTTATTATTAAATGTGATTGGGCACAGCAGTTTGCATAATCTTGTAATTTTTATAATTACCTAAGAAGTCGAAAGTTAATGAGAAAAAGTTATAGTTGAAGTTTTTTCTGGACTTCTTTGAAAATGCCCTCCTACAGCTGGGACATACATCACAATAGGGCTTTCATGACTGTGTTAAAAATGTGTCATGGAAATTTTGCCTAAAAAACATTTACATAGTAAATAAAAGTTTGGTATATATTTTAATGAGATGAAAGTATAGAAAACTTTCATATTAAAATGACAGTTTCTTCTTGTTCCATTAAACTTAAAATGAAAAGGAGGTAGCATATGTCTATTTCTGTATATAAACCAGAAAATCCCTAATAAAAAGAGTGAGTGACTTGCAGAACACTAGTCATGAAAGCCCAATCAATATACAGTTAAAACAATGATTACTCAGCTGTGAAAATAAGTTTTGGAGTCAAGTAAAATGTTAAGCTTGTTAGTATTTGCTTAATAAGTAGGTTAATGCTGTTTAGAAAATGATCAGTTGTAAAGACAGACAATGCTGAAGTGAATGTTTGCATGACTTATTTTTAGTTTTGCTTGTCCCTTTCTGATTGATTAAATATTTTTCCCCCTCCTAAAATGCAGGGCTTCAGATAACAGGGAGCGTGCTTATGAACATAGTGCCTATGGACACCATGAACGGGGGACGGGAGGATTTGATCGGACAAGACATTACGATCAGGATTACTATAGAGATCCTCGCGAACGGACTTTACAACATGGGCTCTATTATTCTTCTCGGAGTCGAAGTCCAAACCGTTTTGATGCTCATGACCCCCGATACGAACCTAGGGCTCGGGAGCAGTTTACGCTGCCCAGTGTGGTACACAGGGATATCTACAGGGATGATATTACCCGGGAGGTACGAGGCAGAAGGCCTGAGCGGAATTACCAGCACAGCAGGAGTCGGTCACCGCATTCATCCCAATCTAGAAATCAGTCTCCTCAGAGGCTGGCTAGCCGACTCACAAGGTCCCCTAGCGGCAGCGGCTCTAGGAGTAGATCCTCCAGTAGTGATTCAATCAGCAGCAGCAGTAGTACCAGCAGTGACAGGTAGGTTAATAGCCTTTTGTTATAACAGACGAGCTGTTGAATAAATTGTCATAAATTCTCAATGATCAATGGTAATGATTTTTAGAATAATAATTAATATTTTTAAAAGAGAGTAATCTTGGATCATGTATATAATGAGTGAAGAAACTGATGCACCCGAAGCTAAGTGATGATTTGCAAATACCGTTTCCTCCTCCAGATGCTCAATATTAAAACTGCCAAAAAGGAAGAAAAGTGGCAAGTTTAGCTGTGTGAAGCAGATCTGGTGCCACTGAAAATTATTTCTTTTAAGTTTTTAATTTCCTAGGTATATAATATTAACCTACTTCTGTTATTCTGGTTCAAAATTTGTAAAAAACTATTTTGTTAAAGGTGTATTGGTGAAGTATTATGGTTGACATTTGTTATCAATGACTAAATCAATTTTAGAATACATTTTAACTAATTTTAACATAGGGAGGTAGCCAATTTATAAACGCAAGTAGAAAAGCTTTCTTTAAATGCAGGTTGTAACTTGGCTGTTCACTAAGGCCGAGTAAGCTGACTTCATTAGTTGGAAGTTTTTTTTACAAAGGCATTTTATTTTAAAGATGAAAACAATATAGGTAGTCTTAACAGGAAATAGCTTAGAAGTTAGGTATTCGGGTTTTAAAAACACAGATCTGGGTAGACAGTATAGTTTGCTACTTTCATAATCTTGGACAAGTTATTTAAGCTGTCTAGGCCTTAGCTTTCTCATCTTTTAAAAGACCATGCTTTATAAAGTTACTGTGAAGATGAAAATGAAAAAAGAAAGTATGTAAAATGCTTAGCTTGATACCCATACGTGTTAGACACTGTCTTTAATAATTGCTAGCTATTATTACTACTTCAAATGTTGAAAGTCTTTGAGCATTTCCCATTTCTAGTTATTGTTATTTAACCTGTTAATCCTAGATATCCTAGTTTTAAATTTAGATGGTGTGTATTTTATATTGATTTTAAAAATTGTATTTATCTTTATTGTTGATGGTATTACAGATGTCCTCCATTGCCCTCCTCCACTGGGTTCCCACCCCACCCCAGGCCTGCACACTACCATCTGTGTCCATGGATTATGCATATAAATTCTTTCGTTATTTTCTGCCCGCCTCCCTCCCCTCTTCCCTTTGTGAACCCCCAGTCTGTGCCATGCTTTGATGGTATGCATTTTAAATTTACAGGATACAGATTATTTGACCCGATTAAATGCTCAGATTAATTATTTTTCTTTTAGTATTGCTTGCTTAGAATTAATTTAAGAAAAGTAAATGCCCAGCCAGCCGGTATGGATCAGTGGTTGAATGTTAACCTATGAACCTGGTGGTCATGGTTCGATTCATGGTTAGGGCAGGGCTCGATCTCCAGTGGGGTGGGGGCGTACTGGGGGCAGCCAATCCATGATTCTCATCATTGATGTTTCTATCTCTCCCTTTTCCTTGTATCTCTGGAAAAAAAAAAAGGTAAATGATCATGTAATTGATGAATGCCTCCTTTTAGGCCTCCTATATGTTCTAATTCAAAATAATAAATGAAACATTTTATACATTTATCTATAGCTAATTAAAACATTTTTGAAGATACAGCATATTACAATGAAGCATGCTCTTAGTTTATGAAATCAGGAGAGTTAGATTCTGGCTCTAGCTTTGTAGCTCTGTGACATGGATAAGAATCCTCAACTTCTTTCGATTTCATTTGGTGTATTATCAAGATAAATGATTGACAAGCTTCTTTTGAGCTCTATAAACTGATTATAAAATCTTATTATGCCTCATTTTCTCCTACCTAGAATTGTCTAAGATACTTAAGTTTTAGTTATTTTTCCCAAACCTATCTCATTAAAGGGATGCCACTGCATTCCATTGGGTGAAAATTTATTGAAAAGCCCACATATTATGGAGGTATTGAAGTTAGAGGAGAAACATTATACACAAGGCATTGTACTTGGGTGGGGAAGTTACAGTGTTTTGGGATTTGGCCCTTAGCATTGTAGGCTCAAAAGTTTGAACTCACAGGTGATATGATGAATTTGACATGTCCTGTTTACATAATCAAAAGAATAGTTATATACCTCTTAATATTTATAGTCAGAAAGATAACTGCCACAAAGGCAAAGGCAGGATGAGCTTAGAAAATCTACATGGGGACTAAAGATACTAAATTAAAATAAAGGATATTTCCTTTTCTGTCAGTTGCCTGAATCATACTTAGGTCTGGAAATTTTTTCTGATTTAGGGCTATGAAAGATGTGTAGGATTTTAGCAAAAAGAAAAAGGAGTTTTAGGCTAGACATTGGAACATTGTGGGTGGAAGGAGCCATTTGAAGAGATACAAGTGGGTGGAAGAATGTTTTGAGAATAGCAGATAATTTAGAATGACTTCACCACACTAATGATTTTGGGTTTTATTCTTTATGCAGAGATGAACTGTTGAGGGATTTTGAGAAGGGAGATGGCTAGTTGAGATCTGTTCTTGAGAAAAGGTATCTGGCCCAATTGGCATGACTCAGTGGTTGAGCGTCGACCTATGAATCAGGAGGTCACAATTCAATTCCCTGTCAGGGCACATGTTGGGTTGTGGGCTCCATCCCGACGAAGTCCATCAATGATTCTCTCTCATCATTGGTGTTTCTGTCTCTCTTTCCCTCTCCTGTCCTCTCTGAAATCAATGAAAAATATATTTCAAAAAATCAGAAAAAAAAGGCATAGAATAGGAAAAACAGAGATTCTGATTAGGAGGCTATTTTAGTTCTTGGAGAAGGAAGACTTGGACTGTGAGAGTGTCTAACTAGGGATAAGTGGGAGAGACATTGTATTAAGAATCTGATGATGTTGATTTATGAAAACCAGAATGACCTTTAATGATGGGCGTTTCAGTACTACCCTGTAACAACAGGACCAGGTTTTGGCACACTGCAGAGCTAGTATATTGTCTTTTTCAGAGTACATGTTCAACAAATAGTTGAAATACTGCGATATAATTCTTAGTTAATAAAAGGGATAAAGTAGAATTGATATAAATAGCTAAAAGATTTGGTCATGATATTGTGATTAAAGCAAGTGCATAGAAATATTCTTTGGCATTCAGAGCATATCCGTTATCCCTGGGGTCAGCCTCCCTTTTATCAAGATGTCCTCTTTTCCTCTATAATTATATTGACTTCAAAGTATATTTTGAGATGTCACGTAGATTCAGAATGTTCAATATCCTGTTGGAAGTAATAAGTTCCTTTTGTAATCTGTAAAACCTTGTGATTGTGAAGCTGTGACATTCTCTAAGTCCTTTAAAACTGTTTAAAATTGTCTTGGCTGGTGCATTCAGTAGTTAGAGCATTGACCCCCACACTGAAGGTTCATGGTTCGATTCCCAATCAAGGGCACATACTTGGGTTTCGGGTTCCACTCCCTGTCCCTGGATTGGGACTCGTGCGGGAAGCAGCCAGTCCATGTGTCTCTCTCACTTCGATGTTTCTCTCTCTTGCTCTCTCTCTCTTCCCCTCTCTCCCCCTTCCCCCTTTCACTCTTTCAGAAAAGCAATGGAAAAAATAATCCTCAGGTGAGGATTAACAAAGAAAAAAAAGTTTAAAGCTAACATTTTATAGTAGACAAAATATAGTTTGGTTTTATCTATAGAAACAAGTTTCTATTCTGTCTGCAAGACTGACTAGGAAATTAATCACCCTCTAACCCCCTTAATTGTTACAGCTTTGGTGAATAGAATCCTAGCAGTGCATTTTTTTCTTTTTTCTAATATGTTTTTAGTGACTTCAGAGAGAGGAAGGGAGAGGGATAGAGAGATAGAAACATCAACGATGAGAGAGAATCCTCGATCAGCTGCTACCACCCCCTTCCCCCTTGCGTGTCCCCCACAGGAGATTGAGCCCACAACCTGGTCATGTGCCCTGACTGGGAATCAAACTCCAGGTTCATTGGTCGAATACTGGCCTGGCCTAGCGATGCATTTCAAATGAGTAAACATGGGATTAATGGCAGTTTAGTTTCGAAGTCCTTATACACCTACTATCTTTGCAAAACTACTCACGGTATTTGGTGAGAACTGGTGCTTCATGAACTTTCTTGTGTACAGTCCTGTGTTGCTATATGTCTCTTTCTCTGTCATGGTTATTTAGGGAGTCACTTTCCTTTCAGCAGAAAAATTTAAATACATAAATTTCACAAAAGCATTTATTTTAAAAGCCCTTGATTGAAGTTTGAATGTACTTTATTTCTGTAGTTTTCTATCATTGGATCTCCCCCCGCCCCCCCCATTATGTTGTAAGACTTTTCTTTAATAAGCCAAAAAAATTGGATGGAGGTTGTAGAGGGCATAGAGGGGATAAAAGGTGATAGAAATTTATAAACTTTCCTAATATCTCAAAGTAAAAATTTTTTAAAAATATGTTTTTATTGATTTCAGAGCAGAAAGGAGAGGGGGAGAGAGATAGAAACATCAGAGTTGAGAGAGAATCATTGATTGGCTGCCTCCTGCACGCCCCCTACTGGGGATTGAGCCCGCAACCCAGGCATGTGCCCTTGACCGGAATTGAACCTGGGACTCTTGAGTCCGCAGGCCAACGCTCTATCCACTGAGCCAAACCAGCTAGGGATCAAAGTAAAATTTTTTAATGAGTTGAGAGAGAGGTGGGGCGGGGGAGGGGGGGGATTGACTTGTTATTCCACCAATCCATGCACTCTGGTTGTTTCTTGTATGTGTCCTGACTGGGGATCGAATCAGCAACCATGGTGTATCAGGACAATGCTATAACCAACTTAGCTACCCGGTCAGGGCTCAAAGTACTTTAGACTGAGCTTTGTTTCCTAGTTGTTTACTTTGGTCACAGCCAAAGATGATTGGCTGTCTTAGAGTCTGAACTTGGATGGGGGGAAAATTATATCTTTTCCCTAACCTATAACTGAAATTAAGCATTGCCTCCCATTGTGAAAGTGGGCAACACAAAACAGCAGTATTAACAGTGTGAG